CTCATATCAATAACTTCAATACATAATTGTAATAAATAGAAGCTAAATTTAACATTAACAAATCAATTGCTTCTTTTATTGAAAGTTTAAAGGGAAATGGTTAATTAGAGAGTTGCGAATGTATCATTTAAAGTAATTAAGAGATTGATTAATAAAATTAGTAAATTGAACAAGGGAATGATTAATATATTGAGTAAGTTGAATCAACTTTATAAGAAACTTTAGCTTTCTTTTAATTAAAATAATAAAGTACAGATGAAATATCTCAGAATTTAGATCCTTTATACTTAAATATAATAAATAATCTATGTGAACAAGTGACAATAAAAAAGTCAATATTTGATGTATTTGATTTTAACAATGATTATAAAATTAGAGAATGCTTAGTTTATAATTTAATAAAGCTATAATAAGGAATTAAAGAAGACAAAATAGTAGGGTTTTCGTCAAAGCTGATTCAATACCTTTGGATTTTTGAAAAAGATTAAAGAGTCAGAAATCTTTTGAAAAATAAAGAACTAATTGAAATGTAAAAACTTTTTTTTTCTAAAGATATCAAGTCAACATCAGAATAAATAAAATAAGAAATGAAATTAAGAATCAATAGCATAGAAAGCATTTCATAAGAATTAAGACTTGAAGGGAATTCTCAAATAAAAGAGCATCTTAAATAATAACTCAAGCTAGCTTATGAAGAACTTGAATAATATAATGATAATATTACTGAGATGTCAGAAAAAATGGATATAAGTTTAATATTTTTGAAGGATATATCAAAAGATGTGAAGTAAATAAAAAGTTAGATTGATAATTTATAAGAGAGTTTAAACTAAGTCGGTGAGGATGTTCGTAAATTAAGAGGAAAACGATATGATGAATTATTAGAAATAAGAAAATAAAAGATATTATTATAATCTAAGTTAGCAGAAGTAGATTCAGTATATGTTTAATTAAAAACTATTGAATATGATCCTGTTACTGGAGCAAGTATTAAATCCAAAGATGAAGTAGCAATAACCAATTTAATGTGTGAATAATGGAATGATTTTACTGGAGAAGTTAATGAATTTATTTGGGATGAGTCTAAATAAAATGATGTCATGTTACTTTCAGGAAATGCTGGTTCTGGTAAAAGTAAAGCAGCAAAAAAAATAGAAGAATTTCTATGGAAATAGAAAGAAATTAATTCTAAATGGATTCCTATCTTTGTATCACTCCCAACTTTAAAAAATCCTAAATATAATTTATTTGAATAAGCTTTAGAATCTGATAACTATTAATTTGATAAATATTAGCTTAGAGAATTTAAAGATGCTATCTAAAATAAAAAAGAATATATCATTTTAATACTTGATAGTTATGATGAAATGAAATAAGATTGTATCTAATAAAATCTAATTATAACGAATAAGTTAATTAATGATTTGAATATTGATGAAAAATAAAAATAAGTCAAGATAATCATCACAACCAGAAAAGAAATATTAAACACATTGGGTTATTAAACTTGGTTTTATGGGAATAGCATAAGGAGTTTAAAAGAAGTTTAGATCTAGGATTTTGATAAAG